CTGTATGTGTGTGGTTTATTCACAGGCATGGCTGGTGGGTGAGTGTGTGGGGTAAACAGGCAGCATTTTGATGTACGGGCATTGGCAATCTTGCTTGTAGCACATCTGGTTGTGTGTCATTGGCAAAAAAGCCGTGTTGTTTACGATAAAACGATTTGCTGAATGGAGGTTGTTTGTGAAGTTATGAGCCGGCAGGCTGTATTATAGGCGGTATGGATCCTAGTTGATGCGAGAAATTTATTGCGTTAGAGTATACGTAATTATATGGAGAATTTTATTTGATTTTATTTTTTGACCTAGCTTATGCAAAATTGAGGAAGGAACCGTTATATAGGCTGTGGGAGGTTTTTAATTTTCTTGAGAATGTTTGCTGTTCAAGTATTCTGTTTTTTTAATTTGTTTATCATGCGTGCAATCTAATATTGCGTAAGCTATAGCAGAATGCCGGTAGTGCTCTAGGTGACTGGTTCTGATGCGATGCATAGACACAAAGTGTGACATAAATACTTTAAGTAAATACACAATTATTTTTATTAATACCCATTTAGCATCCAGTGAGTGTGAATGCACAGTTGAATTATATATTTATAGCATAGAATTAACTTTTGAGAAGATGAGTCCACGGCTCATTGCTCGTGGCTCAAGAGGGAGTCGCGGGGGAAATGCGCAGTTGAAGTTCAAACTAAGATATTAACATAAGCATGTGTTATTTGGGGGATTATGCGTTGCATCATTCTGGCAAAATTTCCTTTGGCATTTGCTGACAAATACGGCACTCCTGGGGCGTGCTCTGGACGAATAGTTGTTAGGAATTTCGGGGATTCTGGCATTATGTCAACTCGGGGTCGGCGTAAATCGGGGAGTATTTTGAATCCGGTGGCACTAATTTCGCCCTTCTTTATTATTAGCTATTTTAATTATATTTATTATATATATGTTATATTATTCTATATATATTATATTATAATTTATAATATTACTATTCTGTGGCGTTTTCTATTATATACTGTGCAGTTTCTATGGCTCTAGCTGGATGCTGGTTTAGTATTTAGATAATGCAGACCAATCCTAGTGCATGCTGTGCCTCTTATAGAATAGGGCCCACATAATAGAATTTGGCCTCAATCATAATATTGGCATTTACTATGATTCATGCTCCTCATGGAGACTATTGCCTCTGGGACCAAAGCAGAGCAAAGGAAGGCAATTTAAATATTGCATGCACTGCAGTATCAAAGCCCTATTTCATAAAGTGATATTTCCTGTTTGCATATCCATAAGAGAAGAATGTGACAATTGGCTGTAGATGTTTGAGGGTTGGGGCAGTGTTAGGGCAAATGCATTGCCTCTGTAACGGCTGTCATTTGCATCTGTAAAGCCGACCCAGACGGAGAAAGCTTGTCTGCGTTATTTTGAAAGGAATTTAAAATTTTTAAATGAAAAAGACCATTTTATAGCTAGAGTACGCTTGACACATAGCAGTTTCAGTGTATTTGAATGTTATAATGGCAGTGACAGTATTTTAATGAGGCAGTGAGAGTTTCCTGTATTAATCAAGCGAAAGCCTAATGCACAGTTGTGCTAGCTGCTGCCACTGCACATATGTGCTATCAGCAGTGAGTGACAGGCCAGGAGGCACTCACTGTGAAGCTATTTACGTTCTCTTTTAGTAGTGTAAAGATCTGCGCTGTACCATCAGTAGCAAGTAATTTGGGTGGATGCATGTGGAGCTGTATAATGAGTAACGAGTGATAACTGATGAAAATTGAAAGTCAGCGGGAGATGGAACTAGGGAAGATACACAGAGAGAACACAGAGGGAGAGAGAACAGGAGAGAGGGAGGGAGATCAAGAAAGGGAGAGAGAGAAAGAGAGAGGGAGGGAGAGTGAGAGTGAGAGACATGGAGAGAGAGGGAGAAAGAGATGAAGAGAGTCAGAGAGAGAGAGAGAGAGAGAACAAAGACATTGAAGAAGTACGTCAACGAGTCATGCTTCATGCATATCCTTTTCACAGGAACAAAACTAGACTTGAGGGATGATAAGGAGACGCTAGCACAGCTATCCGAGGCTGGCATCAACCCAGTGAAACGAGAGCAGGGAGTCAAGATGTCATCAAAGATTCGCGCAGTGAAATATATGGAGTGCTCTGCATTAACACAAAGGGGACTGAAGCAGGTAAGTGACATCTAAAGATGATAAGGTTGTGATCGATATGACACTTACTGCTTAAAATAACGCACCTTCTTACGTTAAACGTGTATAAAATATTGCGATATCATTGCTGCCATAAATTAATGCTGCTGCAGATGTGGTACTTGAGTGCATTGTATGAGGTTACATTTCCAACATATTCTCGTAAATCATTAAATAAGTTCATTCGGTTGGTAGATAATAGATTTATCTTGGTTAATTTTCACTCAACCGTGTTGATTCAAAACGTACTGCTGACGTTTCGCCTCCTATCAGGAGGCTTTCTCAATGCTGACTGAAGTTATCAGTTTTGACCACCAGATGGTGTAGTGGTCAGCAGCTTGGTCCACACGTGACTGAGTCTGTAACCAATCAATGACTGAGCCAATCAAAATCAGGCGCTGGATTAAGGAGGCCATCTAGATCCGCAAGACCACGAACATCAACCGTGATGAGGGTGGATACAGACTCAGTCCCGTGTGGACCAAGCTGCTGACCACTACACCATCTGGTGGTCAAAACTGATAACTTCAGTCAGCTTTGAGATAGCCTCCTGATAGGAGGCGAAACGTCAGCAGTCCATTTTGAATCAAGACGGTTGAGTGAAAATTAACCAAGATAGATCTATTATCATAAAGGTTTGCATAAAAACAACAGGAGCATATCCAAAATGATTCAGGTGTACTGAAGCAAAATTTAATTTTGATAAGGAGTTTGTTTGATCTGCTTAACCTTCAATATATTTACATATACACATACACTTATGCATCCGCATATACACGTACACGTATATGTGCGTGTGTGCGTACTCGTTCACGTGCACATGTACATAAACAACTGCATACATATAGGTTTATAATTATTGATTTGTATAGGAGTAACTAACTCCATGTTTAAAACAGAATATAGAACCAAATAATGAATTTTTAGCTCATCTGACATAGTCAGATGCAGCTTGTAGAATCGCTTGATCGTCCGTCCGTCCGTCCGTCCGTCCGGTCGTCCGGTCGTCCGTCAACAGTTGGGCACAAATCTTAACCGCTCGACGTACGGTCACGATATTCGGGTCGTTGGGGGGGATCGTCAAAACGAGTTGGGCTGTCGAAGCTGGGGGTCAAAGGTCAAAGGTCAAGAGGTGTAAAAGAAGGGGGAACATTCACTCCTTAACTTAAGGTATAGGGAGGAAATGCAGAATTGCGGCACAAATCTAAACGGCTCGACCTAGGCTCGTGATAGTCGGTGTATAGCATCATGGTAGGAAAAGCCATCACTGTGCCGAAATTGGAGGTTACAGGTCAAAGGTCAATGGAGCACAGGGCAGATTTTAGACATTTTCTGAGGACATGGTCTGACGGAGCGATTGGAAAACTTTTTTGTTTCAGCGGTGACCTATCATTTTTATGGCTTTATTGAAAGGACCATGAAATCTGCTTTCCACTGACGTGCGAAGAGTAAGTGTCTGATAACCTTTTGACCCTCAAGAGGAGGGTTAAACATGGATTTGTTGACTGTCTGTTAGAAAGAATTTGACTGCCGGGTTTGCTAGTAGAATCTATACATGCCTGGATGTATGAGGCTACAATGTCACAGTGAAATTTCAAAAGCTAAATTTGGTTAAAGAAGGTTTATGCTCCTTAAATCGTATAATTTATATGGCATTCTGTAGTGTCAGTATGTTACATGTAACGTATGCCACTGCCAGTGGCTACTGCCAGTGCATGTGTTGTGGTACTGTGGAGTTTTTGCCTTAATTGGTTGCAGGTGGCAGCTCTCTATTGCGCAGCCTGTAGGCTTGCGTAGGTAAATGGATGAGTGCTTACCTATTCTGTCTTGCAGATAGTTGTTGCTACTACATATGATGGGAGCTTCCATCTTTAATCTGAAGACACTTAAACGTACGCGCCATCTCGTGGCAACTTTCATAACGATCCCAACGAACATTCTTTTGAGAAGGTTCCTGATACCATCCCTGTGCATTCCACTGTTTCGGCGTGTATGTGAACACATTTGGGACTAACAGGGTTTACTAGAATCCCACCACTCCACCACAGAGTCACCGCAGTAGACGTTAGATGAGCGCTGTCGCTATGCGGCACTTGTTATGAAAGTCGCCACACTTTGAATGGATTTGGACATCATAAATCTTCAAAGGGAATGCATAAACCCATATGAAAAGTATACCCTTTAGAATGAAAGTGTACAGTATCACGATTTCCTATATACGGTTAAATGTTCACTGAACTACAGGACGAGAGTAGTTTTCAGTGATTTAAAGTGGTCACATTTTGAAAGTTCGCCATTGTTGTTTTAGGTGTTCGATGAAGCAGTGAGGGCCGTGCTTAGACCGGAAACCCAGAAGCCAAAAACGAAAAAGTGTAAAGTGCTGTAGCACCGCACCAGATGGTTCGAAACACTCTTTTTGTACAAATAATAATGTAATCTGGCTAACAAGAGCTACATTATTGAAGCATAGGTCAGCATAGAAAATTTCGCGTGAATTTGCTCTATTTTGGGAGTTGTCTGTAGCCACAATGACACATTGTACGTCGTATATGTATTGTGTGCTGTCATATGCGCGAATAATAAACAGCATATGTCACCAATTTTGTAGCTGGCTGGCCAAGGTCTATCAGTTGGAAGAAAATGTTACGCAGTGGCGTGTTGCATAATGAGCACCTTGCACTGCAGTATTGAGGCATTAAATTGACATCAGCAGATGGTACCGTAATACGAGACTCCTATACTGACCAGAGACCGATGTTTTATTGAAGTTGAAACGTTTTCATTTAGAAGTAATATTTTTGTTTTGCGGAAAAGCATCAGTTAATTTGATTATCTTCATATATTCACAATAGCTACATTTTATCAAGTGATACATCGTTGCAAATGAATGGTGTATGCTAGTTAGAATCTAGTTAACGTTAGGTATGCATCGATTTTGAATAAGTTGTAGTTGTAAGGGCCAACATGTTTATAGTGAACTAGATCATCTCTGATCCACTACATGTTAAGGAACCTTTAAAGAGTATAGTATATTCTTCTATCCCGAGATGCTTGCAATATGATTATGTCGGTGTGAAGCCTGAGGTCTGCCAACTGTGGTCAATACCGTGAGCAACTGTGCAAATTTGTTTAGTGTAAATTATAAGTTATGATAGACAGTTTGTCGTGTAAAAAGTTTTTATTGACGGGATTTAATAAGTCCGATTCGTTGTCGGTATGTAGGTGGAGCATTGATACAGTGACATAGGAGAGCAAGTTGTTAATCAAAGTGCCGGGTGTGACATACAGCGTAAAACAAACATAACACCTGGTTTGGCTTTGTCTTTACGAAGGTGTCATTTCAGTAAATTATAAATGCATAATGGAAGCCGATAATTAATATAGAGGCGTAGAGGACCGTGTGCTAGGTGAAAATATCGAGATAAATATGTTGTCATTAATTTCACTTCAAAGATTTTGACTTTGTTCTGTTTGTAGATATTTGGATGTTCTTTGGATGTATGACATGATGTGAAACATCATAAAGTGGCCAAACGTTCTCGGTTGCTCCTGAAATCTAATACGAAATAGTTTACAATGTGCTTCCCTGACTGTCAATATTATTTTGACACGTGAGTTCCCAAGATCATAGGATACATTTTAAATTCCACTGCATATCCTGATATATCAGTGGTTCTGTATGATCAACAACGGTGCGTAAAAAATATAACAACATTATTTCGATGCAATGCGAGCAACGTGACATGTGCAGAAGAAGACTACCATAGGCATAGTCTATATTCAAGGACGTTTTTATCCAAAGCATGGCGAATCCTACATTAAGAAGAGTTAATACTCGTTATGGTCTATTCTACTGGTTACTACTTTGTCCATAACTTTAGTCGAACTGGATTTCGGAATGTACATGAGGTACTCTGACCATGGAGGTCGTAATGGGTCGGTATCACGTGATGGACGACTTGTTTGTTGAATTCAGGTATCTATTAAGCTATCATGTACTTGTCCCCCACAGCGGATGTACATCGGTTTTTTGCTGTTGTCTCGTTTAACTCGGCAGAGTGAAATGGTAGATGTTAGTGGTCATGGGGAGGGGGGGGGGTCATAATAATGACTATTTACCTAGATAAGGAATCTAATTGGGAGTCACTTTTAATGAAAATATGTATTGCATGTTTCCATTTTAAGAGGTCCCCTTTCTCGTGATAGGTCTCATTAAACACAGATATGTAAGTAGATCAGTTATTATTTATCGACAACGGAACAATCCATGAAAATTTATATATAGTGAACGAGATAGCCATGTCTTTATGTTTTCGTTTCTGTCCGCCTTGTTTAGTTCCTATAGACTAGATTTGATAATTTCAATTCCTATACTGATATCGTGAGTACTACTTATAATTGCATACTCATTTCGTACAAAGCAAATTTACTCTTACAGTCATTATTGCTGGCCTAATTCCTTCGTTTTCCCCACAGAATTTTAGTTAGATGTTACTATTTTGTAAGAGGCACACATACTGTCACTTCAGCTATGTACGGATATATATCTCTGATATAAAGAGTGCAGTTTATGATAATCGCAATCATTTTATTAACCTACATCTAAGATTACAGAACTTTCAGAGTATATTGCAACCCAGTGTAAAACTTTTTGAGTTAATCTTTTATTACTGCAATGCTTGTGTGGAAATATTGAAAGATATTGTAAACGGTATGCTAAACCAAACTGCGTCCGAAATAGGTTGAAATATTTCTATCTTACCAGCAATGATATTCCCCATGATAAAACATTACGAACAACCTATTTGCTAAAATCGTAACGTATTTTCTGATGAACGCATTGTTTGTTTGTCAATAAGTTGTTTTGAACGTGCTACACATAAATAAGTAATGTGAGTACCATTTCGAATAAATCTGGTCAATTATCTACACTCTATTGAACATAGTGAAGAGATGAACAATTTGGAAGTCAAGAGTGGTTCGTTAAAAGGTAGTTAAAATAAATGCGCATATATGCTTAAATGATTCTCTAAGCACGTGTTAGTGTGTGCGTAGTACATATCTATGTAGACTAGACGTATACGCATATAATGTCAAAAATAGACAAGAATGGTCTCATCTATTTTTGGCAACATATGTGTAATGATTTACTATGCCGATGTGCCAGTGGCGCGTTCATATACCGACTGTGGCCAGGTTCGCTCCGCAGGAGAAACGAACGTAACGAGATATTATAAAGAGAATCGACAGCTTGGTTAATTAGCCTAATCACCAACACATCTGTGCTGTTGTATAGATACGTTCATGGTGTCAATTCGGTAGGTTGTTGCAGGATGACGACTCGTGGCTAACTGGAAGATTTGACTTTCACGCCTAGCTATAAGGATCACTATAATAAGACTATTGGTGTTAACAGCTGGATGCTGGTCTTACCATCAAATAATTTATTGTAGCTTTTAAACACTGCATTTTTGTGTTGCTCATTTATATTATCATTGTTAATTGATATGTTGCACTTTTTGTATGTATTCCGCTGGGTGTAGAAACCCAATAAAAATACACCACTGCGAATAATTTTCATGTGTGCAGGAGTTCACTTGAGTGATGGGAAGAGCCCTTTATGAAAGATTCTTACTAAATAATGCAAAATCAGAAATTAATTAATAGTATTGGAAATTTAATTAGATACTTTCCGCAATGTAGTAAAACGTTGCATTCAACAATTCCAACTCATTTAAAAACGTTTTTATGGTGAAGAATAATTTAATCAATCGATATTCCTTATTCCGGCCATGTAAGTCGTTTGGAAGTTCATTTTTATTATTGTGCATCTTCTGACATGAGAGTGGATGTGATGAAAATTGCCACTTGTCCAGAAAAAATCATTACTATCAAATTGAAATATATTATAGGCCTACAACTATACTTACTTCATAATTTTCTCGAAACATTGATGCAGACCCTTCGATTATCACAGCCATGGTACACATAGGTTGATCCGTACTTTTCCTCTGTCTGCCCCCCCCCCCAATGAATAACATGTTCATGGTTCTTGTATTACATATCATCGTCAGAGCTCTACCTAGAATTGCTACAACAGCATGCGCGATACAGATGCATCTTATGGCATTTACACAAGGGTATATATGTGGAATTGCCAAAGGAAAGGACTCCTAGTCAAGGCCATTTGATGAAGAGAACCTATACAAAGCTTGACATTTTGCATTAAGGCAGATGAGGCCGTGATTTGGCCGCCGCACGCTAGCTGCTGCACACTGACACAAATATATAGTGTCTATATATTTATGTGTCAGCGTGTGGCTCATAGGGTCTATGTCGTTGTTGTAGGTGCGTGCGTGCGTGTGTGTTTGTGTGCGTGTGTGTTTGTGTTAATGTGTGTGTCTGTCTGTATATGTGTGACTGAGAGAAAGAAAGAGCAAGAGATAAAGAGAGAGCGGGGGTAAGAGAGAGAGAGAGAGAGAGAGAGAGAGTGTGTGTGTGTGTGTGTGTGTGTGTGTGTGTGTGTGTTTGTTTGTTTGTTTGTTTGTTTGAGCGTGCGTGCGTGCGTGCGTGTCTGTCTGTCTGTCTGTCTGTCTGTCTGTCTGTCTGTCTGTCTGTCT